TTATAAGTTAGATATGTAAAAAGCATGAAATAAATGGTATGTATGTAAATTCCCCTAATTTTTTATAATGCATTTTGACTATTTTTAAAAAGTCTAAAAAAATTCAAAATCATTTCTAATTAAAACCCAAAAAATTAATTGATGTGACAAATATTTCTTATCATTCATTTTTAGATGTCGGATTTACCTTTACATAAAATTTTCATGATCTACATGAATAAGTAAAACGACAAATGCAGATAAATAATAATAAATATGCAAATATAATTAATTAAAATTATTCTTCTAAAGAATATAACGAAACAATTTTAAATATAGTCTGTTGATGGTGGTCGAAGAGTTATAGTTGGATGGTGATATTTGGAGCACTGTAATTATATAACGATAGTCCGTGGAGGTCTAGCAATAGTGATCAGACGATTGGTCCAATGGCAGTGGTCGAGAAATGGTGATCTGATGGCAATCAGATGGTAGTTGTTGATGGTGGTTGTATGTTAGTGGTGGTACATCGATGGTGGTTCAATGAAGGTGGTTGGGTAGTAGTTCAATGGTGGTGGAAGGACAATGGTATGAATATGGTAGTCTAGTTGTGGTTCGATTGCGACTGTTAGATGATAGAGGTATGATAGTTGATCTCTCTATAATTTTAAGTCAAGGTCTATGCTTAAACTTATCTTTAGTCCCCGATTCATGTAGAGAGTATAGGTTTGATTATAGTTTTTTAGGTTAACAATTTTATAAATATAGTTGAAATTCAACACATCCTATCAAACATTCCATAATGATCCCCTTGACAATGGACCATTCTTTCAACATTTAGGCATCTTAATATAAAATAACAACAACATTAAGCCTTTATCCCACTATGTGGGGTCGGCTACATAAATCATTTTTCTACATTGTGTCTTGTTAAAAGTTATATTCTCATTTAAATCTAATAAAAAGGTTATTTCTAATATTTTATAATCAAGTCTTTTTAGGTATATCTCTACCTTTCTGAACATAAGTCAAATCTATTATATCTACTTTCCTAACTGGGTCTTCGGAAAGCCACCATTTTATGTGACCAAATCATCTAAGGCAACTCTCTCTAGTCTTATCTTCCACTAGATCTACTCCAACATTTTCACGTATATGCTCATTTTGTATCATGTCTCTAAGAGAATAGCCACTCATCCACTTGAGCATCCTCATCTCTATAACACTTAACTTAATATTTTGCTTCTCTTTTAATGTCCTAAACATTCTAGACCATAAAGCATTTTAGGTCTAACCACCATTTTATAGAATCTCCTAAAATTTGAGGGGGACTTTTTATCACACAACAAGCCATATGCATTTCTCCCACTACAGAAAATTCTGCTATTACCGTCGGAGTTTCCGACAACAACATATACGTTAGAAAGAGAAGCGTTCATACCGGTGGCAAATACGCCTATAATTTTATTGTGATCGTTCCGGCGAAATTGTTGCTGTTAACTTATCAGCATATATATCGCCGGTTGTGTCATATATATTTATTTATTTATGGACATATGTAGAAATCAGTTTGATAAGTCAAAAGGTTATTTTTTTTCTTTTTGATATAGGTTTCCGACGGATTATCCGTCGAAACCACCATCAGCAATACGATACAACGACAATTAGTTGTTTTTCCATCGTACTTTTATGCCGAAATTTCTAGTGGCAACTTCACTGGTTTCGTTCGTCGGCAGTTGTGCAACAGCTCAGTGCGACGGATTATCCGTCGGTACTTTCGACGTACAATTGCGCCGGTAATACTAGTGGATTAAACACCATAATTCACTCAAAAAAGACGTCATATTTGCATCCCTTTTTTGGTCGAAATTACGCTGGAAATGCTATTAGAAATTTTTCCGACAATAAAAATGTATTGTTAAAATTTTTCGACGCAGATTTTACTGTCCAAGGCTTTTTCGTTAGAAATTCGCCAGAAAATGGAAATTCCCGACGTATTTCAACTGTTACCGTCGGATATCATCTTCAGGTAATAAGAGATTTTTGTGTTGTGTCCACTTCAACCATCCAGGTTGAATTCTACTTATAATATGTCCATCTATTTCACCATCAATTTGAACAATATACCCAAGATATCTAAAATGTGTACTCTTATTAATGACTTGATCACCCAAAGTCACAATCCCCAACTAGAACAATTATAACTAAAATTATGCTCCATATATTAAATTTTAGATCTACTCAAACGGAAGCCTTTAAACTCTAAGGTTACCCTCCATAATTCAAGCTTACCTTCAACTCCCTATTTAGTCTTATCAACAAGAATAATATCATCACTAAAAACATACACAAGGGCACAACCTTTTGCAAATGTCTAGTGAGAACATCCATGACTAATGCAAAAAGATATGGGCTTAAGGTTGATCCTTGATATAATCTAATTGAAATAGGAAAATACTTAGTCAAACCACCTTGTGTTTGAAGACTGAACACAAGTAACAGCTCATGCATACATGTCCTTAATGACTTGAATATAAGCATTATTAACACTTTTCTTTTCTAAAACTCTCCATAGCACTTCTCTTGGAACTTTATCATATGTTTTCTCTAAATCAATAAATATCATATATATATCATCCTTATTCTCTCTATACTTCTCCATCAAACCTCTCAATAAATGTATATCTTCCATAGTAGACCTACCTGGCATGAATCCAAATTGATTTTGAGAAACATTAGTATCATGTGGCAACCTATACTCCATAATTCTCTCCCATAATTTTAAAGTATGACACATCAACTTAATTCCTCTATGATTCGCACAATCTTGTGCATCACTTTTATTCTTAAAAATATGAATCAACACACTCATTCTTCACTCATCTAACATCTTTTTAATTTTTAAAATAATATTAAATGTTTTATTAAACCAAGAAATTCATTCATCTCCTAAGTATTTGCACACCTCTATTGGAATATCATCAGGTCCAACAGCTTTAAACAATCTTGAGCTTAAAGGATCCATCTCGCCAAGACGTTAGATTTGGCTATAAGCATGCAACATATAAAGATCACATGGTCATTTAGTTATCATCCTGAAATTATTTGCTATGCTTTAAATGGTTTATTTGGGCTCATTTAAACTCAAATCAGTTTACATTTAAATAATCCTTATTTGATTTTACAATTTTCAATTTAAATATACATAAAATTAGCGCCCAATAAAATTAATTTTAATTACATATCACAAGTAATTGTCAAAAGATGTTTTGACAACTCAATCAATCTCCTTTTCTGCTTTCCACCTTGAACCTTTGACCCAACGAGTAGGGTTTAGAAATTTCCCCAAAGACAAAAAAATGGCAAGGTTCAGATTTCCTTAAAATGACCATTAAGTAGCGTTTTCATTAGGGGTGTCAATTCGGGGGTCAACGGGTCGAGTTTGGTTCGAACCCGGAACTGACCTGGTACTGTTCAGGTCAACCTGAACCAGACCCATTTTTAAAACGGGTCAGGTTTCCGGACCCGAACCCGGCCCAATTCGGGTCTGAGTCAACCCGACCCGACACGAATGACCTGAAGTTGACCTAAAATTGCTAGTTTTCGAGTCAAAATCGTTAAATCTTCGATTTTCGTGTCAAAATTGGGTAAAAAATGGTCAATCTCGGGTTTCTGATTCAAATAGGAGTTTTCGTGTCAATTTTGGATCATTTTCGGGTTGCTGGATCAACACGAATCCGGCCCGATTTTTAAAACGGGTTGAATTGTTGAACCCGAACCCGACCCGTTTCGAGTCTGGGCTGACCCTAACCCGGATTTTTTCGGGTCGTGTTTCGGGTCGGGTCAAAAATTGACACCCCTAGTTTTCATTCCTCCCTTTTTGCAATTTTCTATTTTGCATGGAGTTATCTTCAAATTGTATGGGTGCAATACGTTTTTGCAAACAAAATCCAGCAATGTTCGTCATAAAATTGTTCAAAATTTCATGATTTTTGTTATAATTTAATCCTAAGAGTTAAATTTTATTACTCAAGTTGTATTTATTTCTTTGATTTTTTAATCCCAAGAATTTAATTTTTATACTAAAAAACTTTTTTAAGAATCAGTAAGAAAACTATCCCAAATAAAATCTAAATCTAAAAAAAAAATGCCATCTTAAGAATTCCAAGCTCATAAGAGCTGCATCAATTTATTTTTATTTTTTATTTTGTTATAATTTCATCATAACTTTAAAATATATCATAATATTTTTAAATTAGCATAAAATACCAACTAAAAAATTAAAATATTTACAATAATTAAAAAACTAAAATTTAAAATTATTTAAAATAAAACATAATATATAAAAAAATTTAAAATAATTTTCATAAAACTTTACCTAAGACAACTCATAACAAATCACTTCCATTAATTGATCAACAATAATCTCAGAGTATTCACATGAGATGGGACCTCTCTTCCAAACTTTCCACATGAAATGAGCAATCAATGGCCGGAAAATGCTCCGCCTCCGTCAAATTTGTCTGTCTCATTAGAATCACTGGCTGGAAAAAGACCAGCGCAGCACTTCTCACATATAATTTATTATTAAAACTATTTTCATTTATAATATTTAAATTTTAAAAGAGCCATGTCCTTACTGTTACTGCACTAAACTCCAAAAATTTTTAAACAGGAAGGCCCATACGCCTGCGAAGATCAATGTATCCGCAGAGAAAATAAGAAAAAAATTGATCTTCAGCTGTACAGACAGCAGGCACAATTATATAGCTGTACCTATAAGCATCATTTCATTCACCGAACAGCTAATATCTAATCAAAAATGGAGATTTTGTTCAGGATGTATTTCATTAAAACGATATGAAAATGTACAAATCCAAATCTGTCAAAAAAAAATTTTTTTTTTTTTGAATTTTATTGATCTAACAATTCGATGACACATAAAGTTTAATTATTGAAAATTTTCCCGTCCTCTACTACATAAAGCCTGCCATCTACCTCCCATTCCATTCGCTGCACTCCCTCTCTTCCCTTCAGCTTCCCTTCCCTGCGCCAGAGATCAATGGCCTCTTCTTCGTTCTCTCTGTGTCTCTGCTTTCTTTCTCTGTATTCTGCAATAGCCATGGCTGCCCAGCCAAGAAAGCCCATTGACGTACCGTTTCAGAACAATTATGTGCCCACTTGGGCTAGCGATCACATCAAGTATATCAACGGCGGCAACGAAGTTCAACTCTACTTGGACAAATATACAGGTAAATTAAACCTTAAGGTAATAACCATTGTTCATCACTGAAAGCTATTTTTTTGGTTTTCTGGTGCTCATCAGGCACGGGCTTTCAGTCAAAGGGTTCTTACCTTTTTGGGCATTTCAGTATGCGAATGAGATTGGTTCCAGGAGATTCTGCTGGCACTGTGACTGCATTTTATGTAAGTTTAGGGTGGGCATCTCCAACTGAAAATCTCTTTTTTCACTCCAAAATGTAATGAAATTAAAAAATGTCGTGATTCATCTCCAATCGAACGCCATTTTGTTCTGTAACTATCATTCTCTTATTTCGCGCCTTTCTTCCGAAAGTTCGATAGAGATAAAAAAAATGGCGCAGATGAACAATATTCATCCGCGATCAAATGGCAAGAACGGCGACTAAGTGTTTGCCGTTCCATTGGAGTTGCCCTTAGGTAGGATTAGTTGGTGTTGATTAGATGAGAAATCAGATAGTATTTTTGTTGTTTTGATTGCAGCTTTCTTCACAAAACTCGGAGCATGATGAGATAGATTTTGAGTTTTTGGGCAATAGGAGTGGCCAGCCTTATATCCTACAGACTAATGTGTTTACGGGAGGAAAGGGAGATAGAGAGCAGAGGATTTATCTCTGGTTCGATCCTTCAAAAGGATACCATTATTACTCTATTCTCTGGAATTTGTACCAGATTGTGTAAGCTTTCTTATACTCAGTTCTTTTGTTTTTATTTTTTGTTAGGGCATCTCTAACCGAATCAAACGTCGTTCTCCTCTCGTCTGTTTGTAGTTATTGTAACTCTCCACCCGAATTTAAGGTCATACCATTCAAAATGTGAGAATGACTTTCAATTTGTTGTTCGGTTGGACTGTCGCGACCACTACAAATTAGAGAATGACAATTCGTTGTGCCTTAGGGCATCTCCAAACGAACATCAAACATATGTATGGTGTCGTTCGGTCGCTCCAGCCAAACATCAAATCTTCCACTATTTGCTTGGGGTGAACAGTCTGACGTCAATATTGGCGCCTCACTGTTCACTCGCTATATGTTTTTTTTTTTTTTTAAATTGGAAAAATTGGTTATTAATTTTAAAATTTTAAATATGAGATAAAAATGAATATTTTTTTTTTTGTTATCTGAAAATAGAGTTCGGTTGGAGACAAGTTACAACATATTGATGTATTACTGTATTTTGAACTTAAAAATGAGTTTTTCAGTTGAAGAAGCCCTTAAACACCTACCACACAATTTTATATATTTATATATTTATATATTTAATATTTATTTATATAATAATTTAGTAATTTAATCAAATTACAATATATGCATAAAAATATTTACATTTATTAAAAATAATATTAATTATATTGTTAATATTATTTTAAAATTTAAATGTTATATAATAAATATAAAAATTCGACTAAAATAATATTTTGTGTTATTTATAAAATTTTATTTCTTTTAAGTGTAAAAAGTTAAAAATTATTGGATTTTTAGGTATTTAAATATTTTTATTTAAATTATTAACTATTTATATATCATTTTAATGTTTTAATTGTATCTTAGTTTAATAAATTAATATTAATATTTAATTTTCATATTTATAAATAAAAAAGAAGAATTAAATATTAGATATATAAATACATAATAATTAGTGTTACATACGCATTTCGAACCATTACAAACTAAATATTTACAAATTGCCTACGGAAACAGGTTCTTTGTGGACGATGTGCCAATAAGAGTGTTCAAGAACAGCAAAGACCTCGGCGTTCGCTTTCCCTTCAACCAACCCATGAAAATCTACTCGAGCCTATGGAATGCGGACGACTGGGCGACAAGAGGCGGCCTTGAGAAGACCAACTGGGCCAATGCCCCCTTCATTGCGGCCTACCAAAGCTTCCATATCGACGGCTGCGAGGCTTCAACCGAAGCCAAGTTCTGCGCCACGCAAGGCAAGAGATGGTGGGATCAGAAGGAGTTTCAGGACCTCGATGGCTTACAGTACAGGCGACTTTACTGGGTTCGTCAGAAGTTTACCATTTATAACTATTGTTCTGATCGCTCCCGTTACCCTGCTGTGCCGCCGGAGTGTCACCGCGACAGAGATTTCTGATATTGGTGGCTTTGGAGTTCTGCACTGTATGTGTTCGATGAAATGCTTGAACGAATACGGCACATGTTGGCGGTATGTGTAATGGTGATTCTAGCTTATTTTAGAGAGATATATATGTATGTTGAGCTCTCAGCAATTGAGTCATGTCATCAGAATTCTAAGAAGAAGTTGCCTTTGCCTTACTCAATCTAGCTGTCACATTCTTGTTCTTTTTCTTGATAACCTGGCTAGACTTTTATACTCTAACTCCACTGTTTTGCGTTTGCGAATGAGGGCCTTCTGTAGTTTTCGATTATCAACGCTGGCATATATTTCAAGGAACTTGACTCAGCCATCTCGTGCGAGCTAAAAAACCCAGGTTAAAGCAAAAGAAATGAAGAAGTGCCCCTCACCTCTATTTATAACCAAAAGGAAATATGGAGATCAAATTAACCTCATACCGATCGAGATCTTTCATAAAAATGTTATTTTTGAGACAATAGTAAAAATAGGATAATAAACCTATTTATTTTCTTCTTGTCATTTGGTTGAGATATTAAATGATTTCTTTCGTAAATTTGTTTATAAGTCACTCTTTAAGGGAGCAAGCAAATTTATGAACTAATTGTATTTTCATACATGATTATATAGGTAACTCTTACCTATCATATAGGTTCACCCCTAAGGAAATTGGTAAAGGGGCATGCTCGCATTGAATGAGTTTTTTCTTGTTTTGCATTCACTGGAGCAATGTTAGGGACCAGTAATTATTTTCCCCATTGAAACACGTATTATAGGAGCTAGCCCTTGTAGAGCTTGATCATGGACGCACATTTATCAAGCAAGTTTGACCAAAGAACTCACCTCAATAAGCTTTCATCCCGAAGAGGTACTCACTTTATGAGGACTCAGTTCTTTCAATAGTTCTCTCCATCTAAGGCCATCCGTCTTCTATAAATGTTTTCGTTCAAGTTATAGAAGGCGCACACCTGCAGAGCTCGTGATCATGACTCAATACATTCATCTCCATCTCACAACCACACCTTTCTAGATGACTCAGCACTCGTCCGATTAGCTTGAGTTCATGAACTAGATTAAGATGCTTATCCTGGAGGATTTATTCGGGGAACTCACTTCCGAGATTTGCCCATGACACTTGCCTTCGAGGAATTGCTACCCACTGAGGGCATCCACCATAGGCATCCCAATCCACGTCAAAGATAAATTTCCACATGTATATTTTGGCCTAATCCACATATTTGTATTAATATGTATCTGTCAAATCATATATTAATTCTCTATTCTTTTTCGTTTAGATTTTCCTATAGTCCTATTAATTCTATAAATAAATGGTTAAAAAACTTTTTGTGGACTTCATAATATTTTTACTGTTCATAGGGAGTACTTGGTTTCTCATCTGCCTTCCATTTTCACTGGTTTCGCCCTTTAATTTCCTTGCAATATCTTGCCAAACTTGTTATAGTATGATACTGAAATGATCTTACCTTCGAAGATAATAGGCGTTCTTAAATAATTATGCATGTGAATGTGTTCTAGTAATATAAAACAAAAAATCTTGCTCTCACATGCTGTTACAAAGGATCACGTCCTTTGTTATCTGATATGATAGTTGCCGTTCATATTTTTATATTTTTATCCTTTCTTTGGCCAATTGAACTGAGGATTTGAAGATCTAGAAAAGTCAAAGAGCTATTTTTTTTTTATGCTTCCTTTGGAATAATTATTTTTTTTTTAAATAATTTTTTAATATAAAAATTAAGATTTTGTACCGAAAGATTATTTTAAAAAGTTATAAAGAAAGAGTTTTCTTATTACTTCTTAAAGGAGTTATTTAGTATAAAATTAATATTTTTATAGTAGTAAAAAACTGCCACAAATAAAGTCTAAATGTTGTTAGATAATATTGATTGATCATTCACTTCTCTATTGCCTGAAAGCAGATTTTTGCTTTGCTATTTGAACTTCAGCATTTTTTCACTTTGTTATTGCTTGGAAGTAGTTTATACTTTATACAATACTTGATGTACCACTGCAGAAATATACACTCATTGCGATGAATAATTGTCATAATTCTCATCGATCATTTTTCTTTTTCTGATCGATATTCTCATCGTAGCACTGGTCACTAATAAGCTTATTATAAATCTATTACAACCTATAAGAATAATTGCAAATATACTCTATAACAATTTTATAGTCGCAAACCTATAGCAACAGATGAACTGGACACATCTTCACATGTATGAAAATGCTTATTATTACATTGAGGACATTGGTTTTTGAACTTATTTAGACTTTATTTGGGGGTGCTGTTTACTGCTTCTTAAAGCAGCTTTTTTTTTCTAAAAAGCTGCTTTAAGAAGCATTAAGAAAGCCGCTTTAAGAAGCTGTGACAAAGTTGTCTCAAACGAAACTTTAATGATATCTTAACTTTGTGAGATTTAAAAATTAATGGACTCCTCTACTCCAATAAAACATCTAATTGATGACCACCATCATCATCTAAATGATGATATATCCCTACAGAATCATTAGTTTCTATTCTCTATTAAACAAATAAAGAAAAAATAGTAATAAATTAGTTATCAAATGGTTTAACTTTAAACATTTTTTATGGTTATGATTTAAACCCTAAACCTGAGAAACCTATAGACTTGATTAATCTACCTTTTGCATCTAGAAAATTATAGAATTGTATAATCCACTTATATGTGATGTGCATCATCAGCAAATTAGCATGTTAAAGTAATTGATTATTCTGATCGCTAGAAGTTTCTTCAGTTATTCTACTGTGACTTGATCTCCACCAAGCTACTATGAACTCAACTTTGATTATCTTGATCAAAACTACCATGACCCCAACTTCCTATTCCACTAAATCATAATTGGTAAGTACTTGCAGCATAATTATATTGAAGACATTATGATTAAACAAAAATAATCAACCCATTCTGATATTGAACGAATTTGTGTACCTTAAACGAGGTTTCAGAGGAAATGAGAGCCCGAGATAGCGAGAGTTGGGATCTTAGTTTGGCTGGGCTATGGAAAATGGGACGATCAGTAGTGGCCATTAAGCCAAAGGGTGTGTGGCTCGCACCTTGAATTGCTAGCCAATAAAGAAATAGAGCAGCAAATAATGGCATGCGGTGGAGCTAGAGCAGAACTTCATTTGGGTTCGAATCCTACTGAGAGGTCGATGAATCTTCAGGTGAATGATGAAAGGAGGAAGAAAATACGGCAAAATAGTGGAGATGTATTTGTAGTGTCAAGGGGCAAAATACCAAAATGAGAAACTAGAACATGGAGTCAGATTGCCAATCATTATTATTGGTCATGAAATTTCACAAATTGATCACAAGAATGCAATATCCTTATAGTGTCCAATTTACTTCAATTTTCTGGCAGTTGTCTACTAGTTTGCAATGACTATTTTACCCTTTTTTTTTTTCTTTTGCTTGACTCTTGTTTTACCTCTTTAGCTAAGGGTGAATAGAATTGCACTCATATCCAAGCTACCCTACCATCTTCTTCGAACCTATATCCTCTACTATCAGTGTGTTAAAAGTGAGTTGCCCTTTTAGTGATGCTAGCCTTATCTATCTAAAGCGAGGGCTATGTGCTCTCCTAGAGATCTATCCAATATGAACTACTAGATAAGCTTCTTTAATCGTAAGGGATTGAAGAAGTGGAGCCCTGGTGTTGCATGCTTTACTAGGTGAAACTAAGAGTTGTATATTTATGTACGAGCAAGCTCCTTTTCCTCCTTTTTCATTTACAACAACGTAATTTCTGCTTCTCTGTCTTTAGTAAACAAAGTATCGGTATATGCAGTTCACCTTGGTCAGTTGGTTGGGGGCTTTGGCTATTAACGAATAAGTATTGGGTTCAAAGATTGTGTATGTGATGTGTTTGTAAATTTACGTTAATTGCTCAAATATCCAAAAAAATAAAATGTAGTTACCAAGTTAATACAAACCTTGATACAATAAAACCTAAAACTATATATGAATTCCTCTTCAATATTTGATCCTCTCTCTCTCTCTCTCTCTCTCTCTCTCTCTCTCTCTCTCTCTCTCTCTCGCTCATTGCCCAAAGTATTTACTTATTAAGGAATTCTAACCATTAACTAAAGTTGTCCTTTCAAAGCTAGCAACATCGACTTACTAAAGAACATGAATAAGCCAAGAAGCTAACCCTCTCTCTCCCATAATCTCATTATAAAGCTTTTCCTTGATGCTATGTAAAATTTATTCCAACGGGTACAAATTTTATTGTAAATTTTAGATATCCAAATATTAAACCTTAGCATCTACTATATAGTCATTCAAATTTCAATTTTTGCAAATTTAAAATTAAGAAAATATGATTTGACTAGAGGAACTAATGGTACAAATAACTTTTTCATTCTAGTCGAGAATAGCTCAAATCAAATACTCTGAAACAATGTTATAACTTTTTTAAGTATAATTGAATGGCCAAATGTTTTCCAATATTGTATAGTTATAGTTAAGATGAACATAATGATGAGATGAATTCAACAAGACAAGTTTTCCCCCCAAAAAAAAAAAGCTTTCCCACTTTGAGATAAGTAATGATCTAATATATGAAAAAAAAAAAAAAATCAAATGATAAAATGGATAAACTTAGACTTTTAACGGAGTGACTTGATTTAGGAAGAAAAGTTAAAAAAATTACCTCTAGAAATCTATGAAAAGGCAAAGCTTTTATAAATTTAGGGAGGTTTTTGGTGGAGAGAATTCTAAAGTTTGGATAATTCTAGAGCAGTGCTTGGTTTCACCATGTAACTGATAACCACATCAATCATTGATCGATGCATATAATTGTCTGACATCCAATGTTAGTCAACCTTGAATGTCTGATGGAAGCCTTCACGATTATTTTATCAACCCAATAATTTTGTCTCTTGGTCTCCCTTGTTATTGGGAGAATGATCAAATAAGAAACTAATAATTGCCTAATTGGCATATAGCGGATTGAAAAGAGGAGGCTAGGAGTAGGGGTGTTAAAATGGATTTTTTGGGTTGGGTTTGGGCCAACCTGAAACTGACCCACCCTCAATTTATCCAACTTGAATCTGCCCCAATTGCATAAACTAGTAAGAAATATGAACAAGAACCCAACTTGCCTCAAACCAGGTTGACCCGACTTGACACGGCTGACTCG